CGGGAGCCGGCAGCACTGGCCGTGACGGCTGCTTCTGGGTGTACAGGTCGCGTACGGATCGAGGAAGGCGCCTCGCTGCGCATCGACCTCCTGCGCGCCGAGGACCAAGGCTGGTACGAGTGCCGTGTGCTCTTCCTCGACCGGCACAGCACTGACGCTGACTTCCAGAACGGCACCTGGATCCACCTCACCGTCAACGGTACCGGTTGATCCCACCCTCGGCTGCCGTGCTCCCCAGCAGCAGCCAAGGTCTCTCAGGGCTGGGTCTGGATCCACTGGTCTTCCAAGACCATCTGAGCCAGAGCTGGGGATGAGGGTCTGGACTTGTCTTTACAGCACCCCCCACCTTCCTGGAGACCCCCCCTCCGTTCGTGGAGGTGCGGGACCAGGACACACTGAGCCTTACCTGCACAGCTGTCGGCAACCCCCAGCCTGTTGTCATCTGGAAGAGGAGCGACCTGACTGTCCAGAGTGGGGACACAGTGCAGGTGAGGATGGCAAACCACCAGTTAACCCCTGCTGTGATGCGTCCCCCACCTCGGCCAGGGTCCCATGGGGCAGCCAGGTATGCAGAGCAATGCGACTCTGCTTGGCTGGAGAGCAGGTGCCTGTCCCTGCTGCGGTGGCACCCACCTCCTGCCACCGGCCCTGCCCACAGCACCGTGTTCCTGAGTGTCCTGTCCCTTGGTGACCATGCCACACACGCGGTGCCATTGCAGGTGAGGAACGGGACGCTGAGCATCGCTGTCGTGGAGCGTGCCAGTGCGGGCACCTACACCTGCCATGCTTCCAGCAAGGAGGGCACCATCACCCACACCACACGTGTGCTTGTGCAGGGTAAGAGCGGGTGCTCTCCCAGCGCTGGCTGTGTGGGCCACCCCACTGGGTGCTGCTGTGGGGCACAGAGGCAGCCACGTCACAGGGGTTGGGTTTTGGGGCAGGTGCAGGTGCAGGTATGACGGGTTTTGGGAGCAGCCTGGGCTGTTCCCTGTCCTCACCATCCCCTCTGTCCCATGCTTCAGGGCCACCCATCATCGTGGTGCCACCCCAGAACGTCACTGTCAACATCTCTCAAGATGCCTTTCTGGCGTGCCAGGCAGAGGCGTACCCGGGAAACCTCACCTACACCTGGTTCCAAGGCAGCAGCAATGTCTTCCACCTCAGGTACAGTGGGGACAGTGATGGCACCGAGGTGGTTGCAGTCTCCTGCTGGTGGTGCAGGGGCCAGGGGGCTGCTGTGGCCTTGCGAAGCTTGGATCTGAGGGCAATGGGCTGGCTGTGTGCATAGCGGGGGGCTTTGATCGTCCCAGGGCAGTGGGGACAGTCCCAGCTGCGCCGCTCACCACTGCCCTCCCCTTCCCTTGCAGCCGCCTCCAGGCTCGGGTCCGCATCCTGGTGGATGGGAGTCTCCTGCTCCAGCAAACGACCCCGGACGACGCCGGCAAATACACCTGCATCCCCAGCAACGGGCTGTGGAAACCACCTTCTGCCTCGGCCTTCATCACAGTGCTGTGTAAGAGCCCTGCAGCCCCTCGCAAGCCCGGGCCGCGCTGTCACCGGCTCTGCTCACGGAAAGGCCCTGCTGGGACAGCCCGGAGGGGTCCCCGCAGGCCCTGGTGGGAAGGGGGCGCCCCTTCAGCTGCCACGGGGACCCCAGCCCCCTGCCACCCTCGTGCAGGTCCCGGCACCCTGTTTGTCCCTGCAGATCCGGCACAGGTGACCACCATGCTCCCAGAGACCCACCTGCCCAAGGGGATGCAGGGTGTGATCCGCTGCCCCACCAGGGCCAACCCCCCGCTGCTCTCCGTCAGCTGGACGAGGGACGGGCGCCTGCTGGAGCTGGACAAGGTACTGCCACTTGTGCCGCCCCCACCCTGCTTTCCCACCCCCCTGAGCCCCTCGTCCTGACCCCGCACC